TAGCGGCCGTTGGGAGTTCCCTCAGGAACCGACACGATAGTTACATTTATTTAATTTATTATTTTCCTAAACAGAAAGAAGCATGCCCATTGCCCAATCTTTATATCAATCTTCATATCACTCATATCAATCTGCATAATTATGTATCTTCACATCAACCTTCACAACGAAGGTAGTACGAGGCTGCTTTGCGACTCACATCAGCCTACGCATTTCCTACATTTTAATTGATTGATTTTCCAAATAAATCTTCGCAACAATCTTCAACATCAATCTTCAACCACAATAGGAAAAACGGATAAACACAAAGATTTTGCTTGCAGAGCATACTGCCTCGTCTTGTAAAAGATCAAGAGTATAGAACCCCCAAGAGTGTGCAACTCCAGCTAGCTATGGGGTCTGCGATGGCAGACCTTCACATCTCGTGACAAACCCGTAGTACGGTACACATTATTTGCACCCTGTGCACGATAGATACAGGCAAGAGTACATAACCAAGAGTGTGCAACTCGACGATCCCCCAGCCCACGGCGGAATTTTTTTATGACATCAGTCTTTGGCGGCGGTTTGGCTCACTGATGCCATCATGCGTAGCCAGAGATCAAAGTACAAATAATTTGTACATTACAGCTACGGTAGTCGAAGCAGAACAACGGACGATAGATCGATGTGTCTTGAACCTGACGAACTCTCCCTGTATCTACAAAACAAGCGCGGGAAAGCATACCCACTTCATCATACTTCTGCCAAAAAATGACGCAATAAAAAAATTCCGCCGTGGGTGAACCCATCGCAGCTCAAGATAGGAGTTGCACACTCTTGGTTATGTACTCTTGATACAGGGTTGTATGCAATCCTGCTTTGGGCTCAACTCTCTTGTGGTCACTTTGCACTGTTTGCCGGCGTAACATTTTGAAATACATCACGTGATGTGAAGTTCTGTTGTTGCCGCACTGTATAGAGGTTGTGCAGGCAGTTGCACACTCTTGGGGGTTATGTACTCTTGGTAGCAGTACAGTGGCACTTACAGAACATGAACAAGTTGCTGCGCAGAGTGGCCTTCCTCAACAAGAACTTGTTTAGTCCAATGAACCATCAATGACCGACCATCATCAATACGGACGGGCAATGCTGGGGTCAGCACATCAATCACTTTCTTGACCGTCCCGCGACCTTCCACGCCGTTAGCTTGAAGTAGGCAATGGAACATCTACAGGAGAGAGAGAGAGAGAGAGAGAGAGAGAGAGAGAGAGAGAGAGAGAGAGAGAGAGAGAGAGAGAGAGAGAGAGAGAGAGAGAGAGAGAGAGAGAGAGACAGAGAGACAGAGAGACAGAGACAGAGAGACAGGCAGACAGACAGACAGACAGAGAGACAGAGAGACAGAGAGACAGAGAGACAGGCAGACAGAGAGACAGACAGAGAGACAGAGAGAGGTCAGGGAAGAAGCAATAAAAATAAGGTGTCAATCTCACACTGCCGCACTGGGTTGACCAAGACAGGATTGCTACATTCAACGTCATTCACTACAGTCTTGGCTAAAGAAATCCGACCCACGAGTCGAAAGCAGCGCTGTGCTTTCATTCACTCATGCACGGTCCACGGCTGTAATGATCAGCATTTACTAATTACACCATGCAGCGACACAGTTCAAGAATCGAGATGACACACTCTAGTTCAAGAAGCATAGTTACAGGGCGTCGGAAGGTATTCTAGTGTGGTACGGTCAGCCATCTGAACTGTACAATTTGCTGTGGGGAGGGGGTGCCGAGTCGAAAAATTCGGAAATTTAGAGCCCAGATCAGTGTATAATAATATTGATTCGCAGGGTACCTGGGGCAAAAAGTGGCACGGTCAATACCGTAGTGACCGCAGCGTGTCCGACGTCCCTGAGAATGTGATCTCTTTCCGTGCTGATCTTCATCTGATCATCAAGGAAACCGTTCTGGTATTTGTCCGCTCCGCCAATGTAGGCGATAGCGATACGTCCTACAGACATCGCTCCAGACGGCTTGAAGTTTTACATGTAGAAAGGAGAAAGATAGAGAAATCACAACACAGTACACGTACCTGTAGTGGTATCTTCTTATGCACAGCAAACTGTAGAAAGCAGTTAGCAAACAGCATGTGCCCGTTGAACTTGGCAATGGGGTCGACGGCAACGCGATTTCCAAGACACGGCCACGCCAGACTCATCAGAGTTTTCAGCTTGGAGCCATGCTTCCTACAATGACAAGCACACACACACACACACACACACACACACACACACACACACACACACACACACACACACACACAGTACAAGCAAAAGTCAAACAGAAGCACAGCAAATGGCACGCAGAAGCACAGCAAAATACAATACGCAGAAACAGAAAAAACGACAAAGAAGAAGCAGAAGTCTTTAGCTCACAGGGTCACATGTAGCCTCATTTATCACATCATACGCATTCACATGCATGATACGGTAAAACATGCAATTTGAGGTGCATTACAATTTCGGTGCATTACAATTTCGGTGCCAGGGACCTGCCAGGTTTCAGGTGTTATTATGCTGAATCAGGTGACCAGTGTACCCTTCACATACAGTGCATTCTCTAGTGCCTTTAGGCCATGGTAAAAATTATCTTTGATTCTCAAGTACGCGCGCACCGATTTTTGGCGGCGCACCAATGATTTTTTTTATTTCTATGCATGCATATGCGCACATGAAAACGGTCAATGCGAAAGGCGTGAATCAGGGAGTAGTAAAATACCGGTATTTTTCTACTCCCTGGCATGAATAATAAAATAATTATAATAACCTGTGACGTTCATATGTGTGAACCTATCTTCGGAAATAAAAAAATTGTGGGAAATAAAATAAAAAATCGCTCGCTCGCACCGATTTTCACAGGCTCATGACCTGAGAATCAAATTTATTTTTTACCATGGCCTTAGGAGTAATTTAAATTTAGGTGCCTGGTTTCTCTACCGAAATCACCGAAATTAAACGTTACGCCGAAAATTACATGTTTTACAGCAACTTGATTCCTTTGCATTGATTGGTGTAGCCTAGAGATCCTTAGGAGAGTGTTACGATGGCTGCAGTGCAATCTGCACGGTACTGCATGGTCATCTATAGTATTTGCTCAGGTAGGAAAGGAACGCCATCTTAAAAGTTTTAATATGGCAATAAGTTGTTGTCTCCTCGTCGAATATTTAAATACATCTTAAAAGTCACTGTAATTTCACAAATTTCCGGTGTACTTTTATGTCCATTTGTTTCATACCTATAATTTCGATACACCGAACAAACACTAACAGACACAATCCAATAGGGAACTGCTTCTCTGTACTGAACATTTCCGTTCACCTAACCTGGCCTTTTTGCCCTCATACCGAAAATATTGAGCACCTAAAATTTCTGAAATTAGAGTAATTTGGCACTGTTTCCTAGTAGTGTACTAGTAGGCGCAGCCGTGGCATACCAGTACATGTACTTACACCTTGGTGTTGGTATCGTGGATATGCTGCGGTGCATACTGTATGAGCAGAGTGGCAAACTGCTGCAGGAAGATTGTCATCGACTCCTGTACACCAGCCAATGCGAGAGCACATACATACAAACAATATACGTGTACATGCATGCAAGTACGTACGCATGCACACATACGCACGCACGCACGCACGCACACACACACACACACACACACACACACACACACACACACACACACACACACACACACACAGGGATTCAGATACAATTCAGTACAGACAAAAACAAGCTTGAGCGTGCCATTTCACTTCCAGGAGGTAGGAGAGAAGCGGGGTGCACTTTCTAACCGCTGGGCCTAATTGCCTGTACATGCGGTAGCATGTATTACACTCTTCCCTTATGGTTGAGAGCAACACTGTTTCACTACTCAGGGGCATCGGAAGGCATTCTACATTGGTGAAGCTGTGAAAAGACAACTTTGAGTCACGTTGCTGGTGTGATCAGGTCGGCTGGAGACCGCATCTGGTTGAGGTGGAATTGCTTTACTGCATATGAAATTGGTTGGTAAATTGGGCCAAAATATTTCATTGCTCCAAAAATCACAGGATAAGATTATTGGCGCGGTTTTCGCAGCACCAACCACACCAGTTCTGACGCATGACTAGCATGACGGTACTGCTATGAGCAGAGAGTACAGAGCACAAAGATCAGAGTAGAGAGCAAAATGATGTGCACTACACTGCATTGACATCACACAGATCTTACAGATGGTGCTGGCAGACCCTCCTGGAACATGACATGCAGCAAGAATTGGTGCACAATGTTCTTCTCGTCATCACCATCAGGGTCCGGCGGTCCACCCAGAAGCTGTGCCACACAGATGCACACAGACACAGACACACACATGGATACACATACACACACACACGCACACACCCACACGCACGCACACACGCACACACATACACACACACACACACACACACACACACACACACACACACACACACACACACACACACACAAACTACATCCAATTAGAAGTAGCAGTGATGGCAGCAGCAGTAGTGACGGCAACAGCGGTGGCGGGATCAGCACATCGCAAGAGAAGCACAACATCCAATACTGTAGTACATGTTAGAGAGACACTCGCATGCACACATACGCACACACCGCACCCGCACACACACACACACACACACACACACACACACACACACACACACTTTCTCACGTTGACACACACACACACTCTTTCTCACATTGACACACACGCACACATGCACGCACACATGCACACACACACACACACACACACACACACACACACACACACACACACACACACACACACACGCGCACACGCACACGCACACGCACACACACACACACACACAAACACAACACCAGCCATATGTACGTACCTCATCAACTACTCCATTGTGGAACGAGTAGTGAAACATTGGTATGATGATGTGCTGTAGAATCTGATCAACAAACAAACAAGGCACACAAATACACACATACATATTTAAAAAAAACTGAAGAGATTGAACGTTATAATTCATTGGAATTCTGTTTAAAATACATATGCAGTAAAGCAATTCCACCTCAAGCATATGCGGTCTCCAGCCGACCTGATCACACCAGCAACATGACTCAAAGTTGTAGACACTGACAAATACAATTTCCTCCATACAGCGGTGTTTCGACCATTGAGCTCATAGTACGTGCACAAAACACGTGCATGCACGCACGCATTCATGGCACAACACATGCTGCGAAGCACAAGGGCGGTACAAAACATTACTCTCCTATTAGGCCATGATATAATGGCATTGAACAGAGTGATGTCGGGACGACGGGATGTTTCATCTACCTCACTACCATGTTGGTTCGTACCACACTCAACTCCTGCATACATTGGTCACATGATGTCGGCCATGTTGGTTCGTACTACACTCAACGCCTGCATACATGGGTCACATGATGTCGGCCATGTTGGTTCCACTGTCCACATTACATGATCACTTTCTACATGAATTTAGTCACATGACCAAGATGTGAAGCCACTCAATAGGCAAGTCTCTGTCAGCATCGGATCATATCCCAAGCTACAGACCAACATGTTAATACATGTACCACGGTTCAGTGATTGTACTGGCGTTTAAAATGAGACGGAACTTAGGGATCCGCGCAAATTCTCATTTTCATTGCGAGAGTACGCCACAGTAGTACAAGTTAACCGGCTATCACTATGTCCGAGGGCTACAGTTTCGCCGTAACAACAGGCTGACAGTTGTGCTAACGGAAATGACCAGTAAGATAAAAGCAGCGGAGTGGTTTATTAACAAACGTGTGTACCTACCGAACACTTGACATCCATTGAGTACTTGCTATCATGGTAGACACGGTGGAACTTGAAGTAAGTATCACGCCGCTGCTCAACCGTATAGCCCTGCATGAGCAAGTGTGTGTGTGTGTGTGTGGGGGGGGGGGGGGGGGTGTAGGTGTGGGTGCATGTGTGGGTGTGTATGCGTGGGTGTGTATGTGTGGGTGGGTATGTGTGGGTGTGGGTGGGTGTACAACAGGAACAAAGAGAGCACACAAGCATTAGCACACATCCTGCGCCATTATCTGAAACGCTAGTGCTGAAATCTGACAGCCAACAGTCTCCCGACTTACAACAACAACAATAACAACAACAGCAACTGCAGCGTGCAAGCAGGCATGCAGGCAGGCATGCAGGCAGCCAGGCAGGCAGACAGGCAGGCAGGCAGGCAGGCAGGCAGGCAGGCAGGCAGGCAGGCAGGCAGGCAGGCAGGCAGGCAGGCAGGCAGGCAGGCAGGCAGGCAGGCACACAGGCACACAGGCAGGCAGGCTGGCAAGCAGGTGCGTGAGTGCGTGCGTACCTGCACGATGACCTCATCGATGAAGGAGCTGATGAAGTGATAGCTAACAATCGACCGAGACTCAACGGCACGTAGCAATGGAAATAGAGCTTCTACCAAGCCTGGATTGTATCTGCAGGGGGAATGAGCAACGCACAACACACATAACACACACATCCAACTAATCAAACATAGCAACATCCAGTGAAAGAGAACATGGTGTATTCTGATTGCATAGGTGCAAAGTTACTGGACGGATACTGCAGCGCCGGATTTCGTTCATTTCTACTTCTACACAAGTCACTCAACTACAGTTCTGGCAAGTTCAGTCAAGACCAATGCACACTTGCAGTGCAAACGGCTACTCTGCCTCCTCGACGACGTCCTGAGCGCTTTCTAGATCGCGTAGACAAGAAAGTCAAAAATCGCCTGGCCGCTTTGAAATGCACGGGCAGGTGCGTCGTGTACGCGGTGCCCTGCACCAGTTCACGAGATCTCGGTGAACTGGTGCAGGGCACCGCGTACCTGACACACCTGATTGGATTTCAAGGAGCAGCACCGTAGTACAGTAGAACCTGTCAAGGTGACCACTCGGAAAAGGCGACCACCTGTCCCAGAAGACCACTGCAGCCAGGACTAAGGGATGTGATTTCCAGTCAAATGACACTGGGATGAGGAGGAGACCACCTGGTTACAGGGACCGCACTTTGAAAGTCCCTTGAGAGGTCGTCTTAGACCTGTTTCACTACACTATGTACTTTGTACTAGTATGTAGCAGCTAGTGCAGCAAGTCTGCAACTAGTACTGTAAAAGCAGAAATTTTCGGTGGTGTAATATTTTCGGTATTCTCCAAAATCGGCGGTTCGGTAGAGGGAAATTTTCGGTGAAACCCGTTTTCCAGGTAAGTGTACTAGTACTACATGTATACAGTATCGGTTGTACCGACATTTTCGGTGCGTTTTATTTTCGGTAAAAATTGTCGGCACCGAAGTTACCGAAAATAAAACACCACCGAAAATTTCTGCTTTTACAGTACTGTAAATATTACAAAATTTCGGCGCTGCAAAATTTCGGCACTTCACGATTTTTGACATTTCGGCGGCGATTTATTTTCGGCGTGGGGTAGAGGGCATGGTATAGTGCGACAGATGCTGGGAAAAATTTCATCGGCGTTTTAATTTAGGCGTTTTGGGTCGGTGCCGAATATAGCCGAAATTAAATAGCTGCCGAAAATTTGTATATTTACAGTACTTCCTGTACATGTACTACAAGTCAGACACGACTTAATAATAGCCGACTGGCATGGTGGAATAATATTTTTTCCTTCATAAAAGGCTTTCGAACTCGACACAAAGTTGTATGTAGCTAGTGCAGTAGCGGCCAGATCAGTACTTAGCTGACATACAGATAAGTACTTACTTGACATACAGATAAGTAATTATTTGACATACGGATTAGTACTTCCTTGACATACAGATAAGTACTTACTCAACATACAGATAAGTACTTACTTGACATACTGCAGGATGCACTTTGCTATTCTCTTGGGCTCCACCCATCGATCACATGCCACAAACTCACATCTCTGTACACACGTACACAACACAACATACACAACAGAAACGGAAACAACATTTTCATACTGGCAATAGCACTGGTGGCCGTGGCAACAGCAGTAGCAGCAGCAGCAGCGGCGGCGGCAGCAGCAGCAACAGCAGCTTGTAATGCCCTCTGCAGTCTGTGATCAGGAAACCTCTCTCAGCATACAGGACACCTACACCTGATCCCTTGCACAGTACTCTAGGCAGGATATCCCCCCCCCCCCCCCTTCCTAGTACAGGTCCTCCCTCGTTAGTAGATAATCTCTGGGCCATCGAAAAATTTATCTTATATAAACGAGACTTATCTTGTAGCAGGACTTGCAGCTAAAGGTGAAATAGGCACTACCTCGTACTTACCGGGGCTACCCTCGATACAACATAAATTATCGATGCTTCAACTCGTTTTAAGATAATTGAAAATCTCCAACATAACTCTTCCTTGGATGCAAAGGATCGTCCATATTCACGAATACATAGATATATTACGTTTTGTCTTTCTACTTTATCCTACGTGTTTTGGCCTTGGTCCTGCTTGGTCAGTATTATCTTATACTGAGGGTTTGGCACTCCAGGGACCTGGGCAAAGGGTCGTTATAACGAATTTTATGTACTAGCGGATTATGTTGTAACCGGACCTGTAAACAGTTGTATAGACCACGTTTCGCCAGGGGATTTCAGATTTCTATTTACTAACGGGGTTTATGTACTAACCGGACTCGATAATGAGGGAGGACCTGTATATAGGACACATGCACCTGATTCCTTGCACTGTACTCTAGTCAGCCCCCCTCCCCCTAGTAGACAGGACACAGTCATACACCTGGTCCTTTGCACTGCACTCTGCAGTCAGGATGCCAGCTCGGAACACAGGACACAGCCACTTAGTCATTTGCACTGTACTCTTATTATTCACCCCAGTGTCTGGAGATATGTGGAATTTGTAGAAAAAAAGAAAAAAAACTCTAGTCAGGTTACCCCCCCCCCCCCCCCCCCCCCTCTAGTATACAGCACACAAGGGACCAGGTGTATGTGACATACGCCTGGTCCCTTGTACATGCACTGTACTCTGCAGTCAGGATACCAGCCCGGTCTACTCAGGATAAATACCGGCATGCTTGGTATACCGTGTGTGTCCGCAGCAATAGAGAGGGCCCACTGTTCGCAATAGAGAGGGCCCACTGTACAGCGGCGGATCCAGCGATCTCTACAGGGGGGTTCCAGTGTAGTCAAAACTGAATAGCTGATACATGTACATGTACTTGCATATGCTTTCCAGTAGTACATTTACTAGTCATGTACGACATTTAGGGGGTTCCACGGCACCCCTGGAACCCCTCCTGGATCTGCCCCTGCTGTGTGAATGTAGTTTAATGTACAGCATGAACAAAGCTTCACCAAATACACTTGTCGTCTTACCTTCTGAAGCAAACTCTGAACACTAGGCTGATCCCACATGCCACGCAGGCTGGCGATCTGTAAAGTACAAGACAGCAACAACAGCAGCAGCAGCAGCAGCAGCAGCAGCAGCAGCAGCAACAGCAGTCGCAGTAGCAGCAACAGCAACAGCAGCAGCAGCAGCAGCAGCAGTAACAACTTTTTCATTTCCCAGAGCCAACAGTGAGCCACCGGATGCAGCCAGGAACTTCCTCCAGTCCACTTTCCTGCCCCCGAAACAACTGGACTCGCAGTGCTTAGCACATCTGCTGCAGAGGTATCCAAGTTACTGGCCAACCTCGATACTTCCAAGAGTACATCCCCCCCCCCCCCCCCCCAAGAGTGCAACTCCAACATACCCTGCTGTCCCGTCAGAATTTCAAATTGACGTCATTTTTAGGATGCAATAGTCGTCGCACTAGTGATTTACGATGTTGGTACGGCGTGTCAACCCACACGTGTTTCCTGGCGCAAGCTCAAACCGGATTTGTCCACCACAGGTTCAGGATACGTCTGATAATATGTATACAGTATGCATTGCATCATAAAAATGACGTCAACTTGAAATTTTGTCGGGCCAGCACCCATAGTGGAGTGGCACACTCTTGGGGGGGGGGGTTATGTACTCTTGATACTTCTAAGAGGCTGGGAGCCCAGGATCAGATGGTGTGCCCACTAGTGCTGACCCGAATTTGCCAGCTGAATCTCGATATTTTGCGGCATAATTTTGCTCGTGCATCGTCGAAATTTTGCTTTCATTTTGCTAGGCCACTCGATATTTTGCTCCCTTTTTGCTCCAAAATTTGTGTCACGTGTGAGAAAACTGACCGAAAGTGGGTTACGTGTTGGCAAAAATGAGAAAAAGTGAGTCACGTGCTGGTAAAATTGTGCCGAAATGAGTCATGTGCACCGTATATGTGTAAAATCTCCCAATTCCCAGCCAACACACCGATATTTTGCTCCATTTTGCCAGCAAATTCCCTTTCAAAATTCTTCGATATTTTGCTAGAAGAATTGCTAGCAAATTCGGGTCAGCACTAGTGCCCACTCGGCTCCTCAAGGAGACAGCTGGTGTCCTGACACCCTCCCTTGACCAAAAACAAAATGTTGTGGGTTCGAACCCCACTTTTGACGACCTTCTTTTCTACTTTTTTCCGTTGTGATGGAAGTGTGTGCGTTCAAATCCCATTCTGGGCAACTTTTTTTCTTTCAATTAAAATGATTCTTGCTTTTTTAGATTGCTCAGTACTAGGCACAACAAAGTGAAGAAAGGCTTTCTGACTTTTTGGTGTCTCCCACACATAGGCCGGCAAAGTAGTTAGGGTGCCAGTTTCCAAAGAATGGACTGTAGATATGGATTAATGAAATGTGCGGTTTTGAACGTGTTTTTTACCACTAAAGGTAAAGGTCTTCTATTGGCTATTAAGCCCCCTTCCGTAAATTCAAATGAAACCTTGGGCAAACTCTCTATCTTCGTGCTACAAATATTTGAAGTTTCCAAAATGGCAGGTAATACTGTATCCATAGAGCCCCTATGTCGCGATATGCGAGAGTATTCTATATTAATCTTATGTCTGGAAGCCCCAGGGCGAAGGTGTGTTCAGTCGCGGCTCGGTTGCTGGTCAGCCGTCCGCGACAGTAGATTGCATGTCAATAGATTGTTTCCCGACATGAAGTTGGTGCCGAAAACCGGGGTCCTGGCTGACACAGGCACACGGCGTACAGTGCGTCATGGCCACGATTCTCAAAACGGCGAAGAAGCTGGTTTCCGCTCACCTCCGCTCGATCCAGGCGGAGACTGCGCAAATCGACAAGTTGATTCAATAATGTGCCGACGTCGATTCCTCTCCACACGCCAATCCACGAAGTCACGGTGAGCTCAATGGGTTTCTACTAGAATATAAATTGTATCATAGAAAAACGATTTTTATTTGCACATGACTTACGTACGTCTGGGTAAAAGGGGACGCATGCGCAGTAATTCCTTGTCATTTCCATGTGAATTGAGCAAGAAAGTTGCCTTCTTCGTTTCCTTGTCACTTTTTTTGCTTTCGAAGAACTATGGCTGAGTCTTCGCGTTTTGAACCTGTAAGTTCCGCAAGGAAAGACGAGCTGTTGAAGGGCGCAGTGCCGAAGTCAACCAAAACGGCAACGGAATTCTGGTTGACTGTTTTTTTCCGATTTCTTGTCAACGCATAGCAAATCTTGCGACTGGAAACATGTTACAGAGGGAGAACTTGCGGGCCTGCTCGAAGACTTCTACTGCTCGGCTAAAAAGCAGGACAAATCCGAGTACAAACGTTCAAGTATGATTGCTGCTCGCGGGGCATTTCAACGCCACCTGAACTCTCTAGAGCGAGGAGTCAGCCTGCAAGGTCCGGCTTTCAACAGGTCCAACAAACTCTTGAAGGCTGTGCTAAAAGAGAGGAAGCGGACTGGTTTGGAAGCTCCTGTTGTCCACAAGGATAGTATTGCTGATGATGATTGGGTTCTCCCAGAGGAGTATTTCGCCGATGCGTCAACCATTTATTTTTTGCCTCGGGTTTTTACTTCCCATAAACACTCGGGACTGAGCTTTTATTCTATACATATGGAGTACGTCTCCAAACTGGAAGTACTAATCGAAAAACAGGGTGATGCATTAAACGAATGGAATCCCACAGACACAGAAGGGAAAAGAAAAAAACTAAGGGAGGATGAGGAGTACGATGCATTATTAGTAGATTGTTTCCCGACACCCTATTCTTAGGGTGCATGTAGCAATGTTTATTCAATCCGACGTGTTTCACACCATGGATCAAGCGATAATGCTAAACATTTTTTAATGTGTGTCCTCTTCTAGAACAGAATGGCGGACAATCGAAATACCACCTCGGCAAGATCACTGCCAAGGCACGCAAGTCACCAGCAGGACTTGTTGGTGGCCTTGCAGGCCGGTGCATCCGCACTCGAAGCGCTAAACCGTCCAGCACAAGCTCAGAAACTACGGGTTCTGTCGGGCGGTTCGACGTCCGTACTGAACTCGCTGAAGAAGCTCGCTTCGGCGATTGAAGAGGGGCCTCCGCCCAAAAGACCACGGCAATCCAGTACTGCACCACCGAGGCCACCACCCACAGTAACTCCCGCAGCTGCCGCGGCCCGGGAACTTCCGCTCACTTTCTCCTCTACCTTTCTATGGTCAGACTCCACCACAGTTCTCCATTGGCTGGCCTCTTCTGACAAACTACCTGTCTTCGTCAACAACCGTATTGATGCCATTCGTGCGGTTCCCGATGTTGCCTATCGCTATGTCCGCTCTGCCGACAATCCCGCCGACTTGCCTTCACGCGGTGTCTCTGTTCCTTCCCTTCAAGCCAGCTCGCTATGGTGGCACGGTCCACACTTCCTTGCCACTGCTGACCATCACGCCGAGCCAGCACTTGATCGCCATGTCAACGTTGCCGCTGGGGAGGGTCCTTCAAGCACTTCGGAGATACCTGCACCTGTATCACACCCAACAGAGTCCACCGGTCCAGACACTGAGCTTGCACACGAAATGAAAAAAAGCCTGATGCGCTCACGAACAAAAAAAAACATGTGATGAACCACCATTTGGTATAGATTGTGCCAGGTTTTCGTCTTTCAGTGCCTTAGTGCGTGTTTCTGCTCTGTGTTTGCGGTTTCTCTCCAGGTTGAGACCACAAGGCGGCAAGTCCTTCGGGGTGGATTCTAGTTGTAACTCAGAGGTCAAGGTAGCCAAAATCATGTGGCTACACCATGCACAACAGAATCTGTCAGACGTCAGTGCTGTCGAAAATTGTAAGAAGCACAGCCCGAAGGACAAGCTGCGGCTCTTCCTCGATGCGAACCGCCTCATCAGATGCAGAGGACACTTGGAGAACGCCGAACTTTGCTATCAAGCAAAGTATCCAGTACTGATTCCCCAAACGCATCCCATCACCCAGCTCATCATCAACGATTGTCGCCTGATGACGATGCATGGCGGCGCTGCACACACGCTATCAAGACTGCGTTACAAGTACTGGTTACCACGAGGGTGTGCAACAGTGAAGTCATTCATCACTAAGTGCCTGACTTGCCGGAAGCACCACGGTGGTCCATACCGCACCCCAGATATGGCCCCGCTTCCATCTGCCCGCGCAACAAGATCTATCCCGTTCACCCATGTGGGACTAGATTACTTCGGTCCTCTGCTCGTCAAGCACCAGCCAAGTACCAAGAAGGTATGGGTCCTCCTAGTGACGTGTATGGCAACTAGAGCTGTCCATCTAGAACTGGTGGCAGACATGACCACAGAGGAATTCCTGCTAGCGTTCCGCAGGTTCGTGTCGTTGCGTGGTTGCCCTGAAGAGGTAGTGTCTGACAACGCGCCACAATTCATCCTAGCTAAGTCTGTTCTGGACGTGGCCTTTGAAGAAATGGCAACGAGTGATTATGTCCTGTCGTAAATGTCGAGGACTGGTGTGAAGTGGCACTATAACCCACCGATCTCACCTTGGATGGGTGGTTTCTACGAGCGTCTCGTTGGAACAGTCAAACGAAGCCTGAAGAAGGTCGTTGGCCGCGCGCTCCTCACTGTGTCGCAACTGACTACCATTCTCATGGAAGTGTCAGCAGTCGTCAACTCGCGTCCACTGGTGTACGTGGACAATGACTTGCAGGAGATACTCACCCCAAGTCATTTTCTGTGCCTGTCCGCAACTACTGGTGGCGTGCAACCCACTGCTGATGACGGCGATCCGGACCACATCGAAGTTCCGACTGCAGCTCAGAATCTTCTCTCTGTCTGGAAGAAGGGTCAATGAACATTGGACCAGTTCTGGCATGTCTGGCGAGACGACTACTTGGCTGATCTCCGCAACAGTCACACTCGGAAGCTCCGGCAGGCACGCGTTACCGCTTCAGAACAGCCAGCCGTTGACGATGTTGTACTAATAAGGGATGACATGCCCCGTGGCTCATGGCGACTTGGTCGCATTGTCGCTCTCCATACAAGCAAGGACATGGAGATACGTTCCGCAACCGTCATCACTGCAGAGAAGACAGAGCTCAAGCGACCCCTGTCTCTCCTGTACCCTATCTGTCCTGCTGCTAACTCCGAGGCTAACGACAACAGCACCGCTCCGGACACACACACCACTGGCCAAGCCGATCTGCCAGTTCCAGCAGCTGTTGCTCCACCCAGTCGTCCACAACGTGCTGCCGCTATGAAGCAACGTCAGACGCTTCGCCAATTAATTGGCAGCGAACTTGTTTAGTTGAATCAACTAGACAGTTGGTAGTTCACATCTGAACTCTCTCTCTCTCTCTCTCTCTCTCTCTCTCTCTCTCTCTCTCTCTCTCTCTCTCTCTCTCTCTCTCTCTCTCTCTCTCTCTCTCTCTCTCTCTCTCTCTCTCTCTCTCTCTCTCTCTCTCTCTCTCTCTCTCTCTCTCTCTCTCTCTCTCTCTCTCTCTCCCTCTCTCTCTTTCTCTGTGACGGTCTACTCTCTTTCACCCTTGCGTATGTTATATGCACTTATTGTGTTTTGTTTCCACGTTACTTTGTTACGAATTATCTCCTTTTCTCTGCATCTCTTGCGGGGGAGTGTCACGACGTTGACATGATGCTCAACGTCATGAGATTATTTTGCAGTACACGTTATAGTTTGTGTTCTCTATCCCGGTTTGTTTCCGCGTTCCCACACCGAAGCTGGGCCGCGAGTTTATTATTTCTACTGACTCACTCACCTCTTAGCTACGTCCTCCATGTTTTTTCCTGCTCCTTTTTCTCTCTGCGCAAGCGCCTTGCGCATTAGTCGTCTTCTTTCAGTTCACAGCAAGAACAAGAATTATTTACCCCTTGTGCATTGTCAGTTAAATTCAGTCAAATCAAGCTCTCCCGATCCCAAGAATAAGAACATTGAACTGCCTGACGTGTGCACACCCCACGCTGCTCCCGCTGGGTGCATGTCAGAAGCACCACCGGGACAACCCCCCCCCCCCCCCTCTCCCCACGCTGCTCCCGCTGGGTGCATGTCAGAAGCACCAAGACAATTCCTCCCTCTCCCCTACCCCCCCCCCCCCACCCTGCTCCCGCTGGGTGCATGTCAGAAGCACCAAGACAATTCCCTCCCCCCCCCCCCCCCCTGCGGTTCATGTTAGAAGCATGAAGACAATTCCCCCCTCTCCCCCCCCCCCCTCTCCCCACCCTGCTCCCGCTGGGTGCATGTTAGAAGCATCAAGACAATTTCCCCCTCTCCCCTACCCTCCCTCCCCCCCCCCCCCCCCCCTCTCCCCACCCTGCTCCCGCTGGGTGCATGTTAAAAGCATCAAGACAATCTCTGCCAATACTGCTGCAGTAGGTGTGGTCAGCAGACTGCGAAAAGCAAACACAACATTCAATATTCCCTACAGGGCTTACCAGTTTATGTTGAGTGGAGAGCCATTTCTCATTGGCACGTCCAACCACTCTGTAAACAAGAGGGAAAGACACCAAAAGACAAAGTCAAAACAACTTGTTCTATGTGCAAACCAACTAAAATTATTATACATGTACATGTAGGTTCTCGCACAGGTTGTTGTTACTGTCTCAGACCATATTGCCAGGGTAGGGCAAATTAACTCTGTGTAATCATACATACGCTTGGGCGCATGTGTCCAGTTACTACGTGTTCAGGTGCGTGTTCAGACGTATGCGCGCATGTGTGTGTTCAGACGTGTGTGTGTGTGTGTGTGTGTGTGTGTGTGTGTGTGTGTGTGTGTGTGTGTGTGTGTGTGTGTGTGTGCATGCGTGTGTGCGCGTGCGTGCATGCGTGTGTGCATGTGTTTTAACATGTGTGAGGGGGGGGGGGGGAGGTGTGAACAGGGTGGTGGAGCCACAATGGAAGATTTAAAAACTAGAAGAACATGCTGGTCAGGTAAACATGAACATAAACGTACCTGATAATGCGCACTGCGAGCGCGTGTGCCGAACGCAAATCCAGACTCGGTCGGTCCTCAGCTTTCTGCAGGGAAAAAAATAATGGTGTGTCACACCCGTGACCGTCACACAGTCAGAGTACACAGACAACATGAAATAACAACAGCACGCTACAGCACAGAACAGAAATAGTGTAAAACATGCAATTTTTGGTGTAACTTTAATTTCGGTGATTTCGGTAGTGAAAACAAGCACCTAAATTTAAATTTAGATTACACCTAATAGGCACTAGAGGTTGCACTATATGTGAAGGGAACGCTGCTCACCTAATTCTAAATTACACCTGAAACAAGGACTCGTTGCTGGTGGAGCGAGTTATTTCCGGACTGTCCAATCAGTATGCGCGAGAGCTGAGGCTCACTATGGCCGGGAAGGACCTAACCGTGTCCGGGTGCCTAGAGATAGTGCGTGCCCTGCGTAGTGCAGAGCGAGATTCCAGCAGCACTAGTGATGTTGTGTCTGCTGCAGCTACAGGTGGCGCAAGCCAGAAGACCGCTGCAGTTTGCTATGATTGTGGCGAAGTTGGCCACATCAGGAGGCACTGCCCGAAGCGGCGCAATCGAAAGGGTCCTGACCGTGATGGCAGACGGAATCAGACTGACCGGCAGAGCGGAAACCAGCCAGTGTGTTTCTTTTGTGACGAACCGGGTCATACGAAGCACAACTGTCCTGAGCGGAAAGCTTGGTTGGAACGCAAGTCAGGGACTGCTGCCCCGGTCGTGAGTAAATCTGTACCAGCACCCAGGGTGCCCAGACCAGAGGACAAACCGTGTTTGTGTACTGTAGCAGAAGCGACACAGGCGTCCCTGCCACGCGTATTTCTCGACGTCAGACCAGATGGCAAGGAACGTGGCCGTTGGGCCCGAGGTCACGCAGCGATTGATACGTGTGCTAGCTACACGATGGTGACTGTGTCATTCCTGCAGAGTTCAGATATTTCATACGGAACCGGCCGACAGAGATCAGTGATGGCCGTGGATGGCAATCCTGTTGAGATCCTAGGTGAAGCAGACCTCCAGCTCCAACGTCTAGACTGACCTGTGTCTCTTCTACGCGTGCATGTGAAGGCAAGTGCTGTCAGATCACTCGCAGATGTTGGCGCAGACGTACTTCTCGGCGCAGACGTGATTGCTGGCGTCGGAGGTGTCAGCATAGGCAATGACGAAGCAGATGAGATCAACTCTGCTACGTTCAGACCAGGAACAGCAGCTTCTGGCGTCACAGCAACAACCGTGTCTGCCGGCGAACACCCCCTACGTCATGTGACCGTTACGAAGGATGATAAAGAGATAACGCTGGAAGCCGACGACGGTCAAGTCCGGTGGGATGAAGACACGGAGCAGTGGACCCTTCAGTGGCGCTGAAAGGACGGGCAAGCGCCAACATTGCCGATCGGCTCAGGCGTAGGCCAGTACGCACGCAGGGATCTGTCCGATGAGCAAGAGGCTCAATTCTGTGCAGAAGTGGACTCGTTGGTAGAGAAGGGCTGGCTACTAGAGCATGATGAAGCCACCCACGGACGCGTTGCAGCCGTCATTCCACTATTGGCGAAGAGCCAGACGCACAAGACCAGCACTCCTGTACGTCCGTGCCTAGACTACCGTGGCCTGAATGACTTGATCCAGTCCAGGCCCGATACAGATGCGCCCGCATGTGCGGAGAAGATCCGTAAATGGCGGAAAGTCGGAGAGCAGTATGAGCTCGTCGACGTACGCAAGGCTTACCTGCAGGTACACGTCGATCCTGCTCTGCGATGGTACCAGGCGGTCGTGTGGCGTGACAAGCTGTGCGTGATGACGCGAATGGGCTTTGGGCTCGCAATTGCCCCGAAGTTTATGGACATAATCGTGCGATGGGTTACACGGCCTTGGCCTGAAGTGGGCAATTATGTTGACGATGTGCTGACGCCAGCATCGACGCGAGAAGCAGTAGCTGCTGAACTGGCACGCTACAGTCTTCCCACAAAGCCACCAGAGCCGCTGTCTACTGCACGAGTGCTGGGCCGGCAGCTGTCGACATCTGCTAACAGCGACGGCGCCCGATGGTCGAGGCGAGATGGCGTAGATCTTGCATTCGAGCGTCCCCTGACGAAGCGAGGCGTCTTCCAGTGGACCGGACGACTGACCAGTCACTACCCAGTAGGCGCCTGGCTGCGACCCGCCTGCTCGTACTTGAAGCGTATAGCAAGCACAACCACTGGCTGGGACGATCCGGTTCCGCAAGGCATTGTACGGTGTGCCGAGGAAGTAGTTGAGCGTCTGGCATGTGGTGACCCTGCGCGTGGAGTTTGGCGTGTGCCGTCAACGTCTGACGGCGACTGGGCAGTCTACTGGATAAAACAATTAAATGTCCAGGGATATACCACTACAGTCAAATTTAAAACTTTTCACACGCAAGCGAAATAGTGCTTCAAGAAAGATGTTGCTCACCACCGTTAGATGCTGCAGGATAGTTGCGACATTGCCCTCCACAAATGTACGTAACTCAACGCCTTTCTCGTGTTGAAGAAGATGCTGTAACCGCACACATACACATACACACGTGTACATGTACACACGTACACACGCACACACATGCGCACACGTTCACGCACGCACGCGCACACACATGCACATGTAACACACGTAAACACACATGCATGCACACACACACACGTACACACACGTAGAGGGTTGTGTGCATGCACATTGATGATGAGCAGCGGGCCATACAGCGTGTCCCAAACCAACTGCACACCAGTCCATTCGACTCAGCACCCTGAAGACTACGAGTAGTGAGATTTTGATTCTAGACCATACTTCCCCTTTAACCATACTGATGGCCTTCATGCTCACCCTGTAGTACACACACACACACACACGCACGCACGCACGCACGCACGCACACACACACACACACTCACCAAGAAAGTGCGCGACACCACCATGTCGTGCAGATTGGCCACAAAGTAGTTTTGCACCATAGCCTTGAAGCGCTCGAGTAGCGTGAACAGCGGCTCGATGAGCAGACCAGGCACGTGAACAGACCGCGTCTTGGCTATGCCGGCCAACAGCATGCTGAGCAGATGCTCCAGCATCTTCTGCGGCATTTTCCGGCACTCGGAAAGCAGCATGACGAATGCGTGGCAGCACCTCAATTCGCTCTGGTGGTGCACACACACACAGATATGAACAAGCAGAAGGGTAGTCTGAGAACAGGAAACATACCGTACTTACGCACATACAATCAACTCCGCTACTAACGACTGCGGGTATAACGACAATTCGCGAATAACGACAGAATTTCCATGCCCAGACCAAAGTCCCATCTAACTGTAATACATATAAGGAGACTTCGGGCATAAGGACACTTTTCTGATGCCCCGCCGAGTGTCGTTATACGCAAAGTTGACTGTATAAGCGCACGGGCCCCGTGTCCGGACATAAGCTCCCCCCCCCCCCCCCCCCAACTATAAGCGCACATGCTTATATGTGAACAAGATTGGCGAAACACCTGGAAGCTGAAGATACTACTAAGCATTGTGATAACACCATTGTTTAGGACACAGACAAACTTTTATTGCACATATAAAGCGCATGCACTTCTACCCGGACATGTTTATACAGATTTTTTGCAGCAATTTTTGCTTATCTCTTAATTTGCTGGCCAAAAATCCTATATATAGGATTTGAAAAGCTGTGCCTTTTATGCCGTTGTTATTGGTCATCACGACCAATAATAACGGCATAATGGTTTTCATGGAAGTTGTAAATATGTTTGAGGCATGAATGTTTACATTTTAGATTCATAGGGCGATAATAGTTCTGATGAATACCCATTTTCAGCAATAATTGGAAATTTGAGCAAAATTGTTCAGCTGCTGTCATGGATAGGACTGAAGCAGTGAATGTGCAGAAGAACATTGCAGGTGTGGCACGGGGTGGTTTCATGACGACATATCGCACATACTGTCATGAAACTACCAGTTTTAAGGATAAAACAAGGTCCAGTAAAATCTCAAATCCTACTACCTCCGACAAGCAAAACTTGGCGCGTTTTTTTACTTCAAATTACTCGAAATAACACACACTTTACAATCACAGCAGATTGACTCGCCAAAATACAACTTTGTATTGCTCAACAAGGACCTTAGACACATCAGTTGGGCTAAATCACTCTCCTCTGATTCAGCGATCGCAGTTTTTTCTGGATAGGAATTGTCCCTGTTTTGAGACGAAAGTGCGACAAGAGCGGATTCAGTTGCAGCGAGTGCCGTGGCTTTGTTGTGAACGCTCTGGAAATCTCGATGTCGTTCCTATGTGCTGTGTTTGAGCCACGATGGCGAGGGTAGTCTTTTCCACCGCCACATTCCAGGTTGACGTGGTAAGAACTGTGCAACACCTCCACCTGCGCCTGGACTCCAAATCTTTTTGCCGGGTTTTCTCACCAACAGTCCAAAATAATTGCCTGCAGCAATTCCTGGCGATTTCCCTTAGCCAACAGAGACGCATCGCTCTGGAGGCTATCGAAGGACACCAGGATTGTTTGGCATGGACGTATGGACTCTGTGCTGGCTGAGGGATCAAGTGGAGAGAGAGAGAGAACTCCTTGGTTTTGCATTGAAACGCGAAAGCACGACGATTTTCCTTCGCAGAATGAACGCGCGCACTGTTGTGCCGGTACAAGAGAGACCAGCCTGCCTCTGACTAAGTCTGAGTCATGTGCCACTCATCAGCTCTTCGCTTGGCTTCCTCCACCCAATTGCATGGAGCTAAAAGTACTAGTGGGTCGTGGAACCAACCTCAGAGCCTTGTGAAGTCAGTTAGTTGTGGTACCAACACAACAAAATCACACAAAAAACGCGCCAAGTTTCGCTTGTCGGAGGTAGTATATATTATAGGATTCGAAACATAGGGCACAGGCCCTAGTAATATTGGGCAAGGAGATGAGCCTGAGATGTCAGTGTTTGAAAAAATTATCTTATTCAACTCTCGATATCTACTAAGACCTAGCAAGGAAGAATTGGTCACATACTTTTTGCTATTCTCATGCCACACCCATTTTGAGTTGAAAAATATGACCAAAATCCTATATATAGGATTTAGCAAATTAAGAGATAAGCACATGCGCTTTTATGTGGGGAAGTGCGGTACGTTGGGGAGAGAGCTTGAGTGCCAGCTTGTAACACAGGCGGAAAGGCACCCAGACCCGCATGCATGCATACATGCACACCCACGTGCATACACCCACCCAGACGCGCTCACCCCCCCCCCCCCCCCACACACACACAGTCGTGCATTTGCGAATGTCCTAGTTAACCCTTTCCGTGCTGACCCCTTTTACTCCAGCAAACTGCCTTTCCAGCGCACTGACTCTCCTGGTGTCGTTTTCGCGCAAAGGTCCGAACGAATTTTTCTCTCAATTCAGTTCACCTTGATGGATTTTCGTCATCCTGGGCTTGTTGGAAAGATCAGGACCAAGCGAATCCATCCTGGTAGCTCTCCTCTCAATATGCACAGAGGTGCAACTTCTATGTCCTCTTGAAACTACTTCACGATGCCTCGGAAAGGCACAGCAACTCGACCTCACATTCTTTTTCGATTTCTTCTTCCAGTTCAGCCGATTTTCACGATTCAAACTGCGTTGCAAAGCTGAGATCCACGTGCTTCCGCTGGTGTCCATTACGCATGCGCTGCGCCAAAGGGAAATCCCCTGGCACGCAACAAAAAAACTGCGTGAACAAAACGCTCAGTGCCGTGAATTCCGTGTTCACACAGTCGCCGCTCCGTCAATCTTTCACCTATCGCGAAGAACTTTATATTGCTAGAAAGCTGAGCTCAATATCTTTCCAACAGCGTATCGATTATAGCGATAGACTTATTTTTGACGGAGTTACGAAAGTTTGTACACTCATCTATGCGCTGTGATGTACTGCGCAAATCTCATGACGTCTATAGACGTCATTAGTCGTTTGGCGTACAGCGCGCATGACGTCTATAGACGTCATTAGCACGGAAAGGGTTAAAGCTGTTGCAACATGCGCGCTTACCTCCACATTGCTCTCGATGGATCTGCGATTGTTTGCTAGACTCTCCTTGCTCTGCTGTTGTTGAGCGTGAGATTGTGCGCGGAACGCAATCTCTTGCTGGAACTGCTTACTGCTGTGAAAGCATGCAATCTCAAGCCACTTCTTCAAGTTGTTCTGTAAACAATAGAAAGATGAGAAATTGAGAATACGTGAACAAATCGTGAGCTGTTTACTACTAATTATCCATACACAGTAAAACCTGTGACTAACGACCACCTCTTGGGGCCAGAGAAAGCGGTCTTTAGTGGCAGGTGGTCCTTAGTTACAGGTTTGCACCGCACAGCCATATATGAGTGTGAGACCGTCCGTGCCTGGCAAACTGGTCTGTAGGACCAGGCTGGTCGCTAATCACGGTGGTCTTTAGTTGCAGGTTTTACTGCAATGTAATTATATACAGTCAGACCTCGCTTATCCGGTCCTCTTTTATCCGGATCCCTCGCCATCCGAAAGAAAATCGTTGGTTACCTATTTGCAGCATATGTCATGCATACATACAGTATGTGTGTTCGATTATCCGGTTCCCTCGCCTATCCCGCTATTTGTGTGGAAAACGGATGTGTGCGGTTAAGCGAGGTCTGACTGTACAGTCTAAAAGTACATTTACGGTCAGAGAAATTCGACCACGTGCATAAAGCAGCACCGCTTTCCAGCGCAATAGATAGCGTGTGTGTGTGTGTGTGTGTGTGTGTGTGTGTGTGTGTGTGTGTGTGTGTGTGTGTGTGTGTGTGTGCTGCTGAGAGAGCAGCTCTGCCCCTCAGCTGCCCACATTGTAAACGCAATTTCCGCCGGCAGCAGGACCTAGCCAGACATTCGCGGTCCTGCTTGTGATCCGTGTCCCGTTTTCTGGTTCCCTTTCCCTAGGGGTGACACTTGCCCCTCTGGGCAGTCATGCTGCTAGTAGTAGTAGTAGTGTGTGTGTGTGTGTGTGTGTGTGTGTGTGTGTGTGTGTGTACACGCAACACACAAGTCTACCATAGAAGTGAGGAGACAACAGTCGTTGCTTACTCACCAACATAAGCTCGCAGAAGCTGTCTGTGAACACCTTGGGGAAGACATGCGTTATCCAGCGTAATCGCTACAGCAGTACACGCAGTTCCATTGAACAAAACAACAAACAAACACAGGAACTAACAACTTTGAAGAGACAACTATCTAACTAGAGCTACGAAAAATAGGAAAGCTGCACACCTCACCACACAGTATGACAACTTGGTATAGTTTCTTTTCCGGATCGATTCTGGATCCATTCCGGAAACAAACACCCTTCAACCTGAAGGGGGGGGGGGGGGAGGGGAACACCCTTCAACCTGAGGGGGGGGGGGGAAGAGGGCAAACACCCTTCAACCTGAAGGGGGGGGGGGGGGGGTCGGATTAAAATCAAGTGTGACTTATGATCGGGGGAACACGGACGGTACCATTCCACCTGGGCAAATGCACGCGCACATCAGAACGACAGGAACTCACGTTGATGATCTGCAGATTACTGCTGCGATTGTCGGAGACCTTGAGCATGATGGGCTGTGCGTGCATCTGTACTTGTTCAATATCATACGCATATTTACCAATGTACTGCAGAGCGACAAAGACAACAACAGCGGTGAAACAACAGCAGAACTTCAAAAATACAAGACAAATACGACGACGCCACCAGCGTCATAAACATGCCCATTACCTGCCCCTGTGTCTAGCTGTCAGTTCGTGAGTGTTTATCTCTGTCTATGTCCATGCCTCTATATGTATCCTTGTCTGTTAGTAGCTCTCCCACACCTCCCTCTTCAGAGTTCTAGCCAGAAAAATTGTAGACGGAAGGGGGGGGGGGGCAGTTCACCCATGTTACACTTTTGCCTTGTCACCAAAACTATGCAATATACGGGTGTACCGAGAAACTGGAACGATCGATTTGTGGCCTCATTTTCACAATGTGAACTGAAAAAACACAAAATTTGAAAAATGAGTAGGGGGGGAGGGCACCATCAGAGTAGGGGGAGGGCATCAGAGTAGGGGGTGGGCATCAGAGCAGGGGGCGCTGCCCTTCCCTGCCCCCCCCCCCCCCGAACCTCTTTGGCTAGAGTCCTGCTCTTTACACATACACTCGAATGCAAGCACCAATATACATATAGCCTCCAATAGCTTGTCCTGCACTTCAAATAGTGGCACAAATGTCAAAACGAGATGAACTCCTCAGTGGCGGGCATCGCAGTAGCAGCGACATCAGCAGCAGCAGCATGAGCATCATCATCAGCACACAGCGAATCTCACCTCCTGCATGAGGGTGACGGCAACTTGCTGCATTGCCTGCATCTCCTTACTACCACCGGCAAACGCCTGCAATAGGGAATACACCACGTAGGCATGGAAACATGCACACACACACACACCACACACACCACACACACCACATACACACCACACACACACACACACACACACACACACACACACGCACGCACGCACGCACGCACGCACGCACGCACGCACGCACGCACGCACGCACGCACACAAACATGCATGCACGCACGCACACACGCACACACACACACACACACACACACACACACAGATGCACACACACACACACACACAACGAATGATTCAGGATCTTCCAAGTGATTCTGACTACTACTGGCTTCGGATGCCCGGAATATCCTTTGTCTCGATTTAGCAATCTTCGTTTCAAACTTTTGAAATGAATCATCCTTTGGCCTTATCAAGAACTCATTCTGTATATGTGGAAAGCTAAAAGCTAGCCCAAAATACTTTGCTAGCTGAGTGCACTTGCTATACATGAGGCCCTACAAGATTTGGTTTGTTATCACCGAAAACTGTTCGCTATAAAGGGTGAATTTCATATGGGTTCTGACCGTTCAAATAGGGACATGGACAAGGGTTCGCTATAACGAAGTTTGCTATAATTATGCGAGTTAGTTATAACTGGAGTCGACTGTATAGCAGGGGCGTCGGACACGCTACGGTCACTACGGTATTGACCGTACCACTATTTGTCCCAGGTACCCTGTGAAACAACAAAATACACTGATCTGGACTCTAAATTTCCAAATTTTCGGCTCAGCCATCCCTCCCCCACGAGTAAATTGTACCTCCGATGGCTGACCATACCACACTAAATACCTTCCGACGCCCCTGTATGCTGAATGCTACTGACCTGAAGTAGTATGGTAAAGACACTGGCTGTCAGTTGAGGTACATCAGCACAAGATGCCAGTGCTCCTGTATAACACACACATACATACATACATACATACATACATACATACATACATACATACATACACACATACATACATACACGCACACGACCAACCAATAGCAAGAGGCTTTTAAGACTAGCGAGAGCAAGTCCAGCAACAACAACAAAATCTCTTTATGCCAGACAAACTACTCAACACACATGGTAGTACCGATACGTACTCAAGGCCGCAATCCTCACTTCCACCAGTGAGGTTCCAGTCTTGTAGCAAGGGTTCTTGCGCAGTGTAGCATCATCATCTTCACACAGATGTTTTAACTGCCATGTACACCGCAGCGCAGCGCGCACACAGAACACACAGAAGACACCGCACACACAGAACACACAGAAGACACCGCACACACAGAACACACAGAAGACACCGCACACAACGCACACACAGAAGACACCGCACCCACGGAAGAAACAGAAGAAACAGAAGGCACTAAGATCACCCAGTAAACAGTACGTACACAATCTAATAGTGCCAGTGGAACACAATTTTCAATTTGGTCAACAAAAACATTCCTGACAGCTGAATGAAGACGTTCACAGTTCACACATACCTATGATGAGTTGCAACTCCTTGGGAGGCAATACCCCCCCCCCCCTCCCTCTCATGCACGCACACACGCACGCACACACACACACACACACACACACACACACACACACACACACACACACACACACACACACACACACACTCTCTCTCTCTCACTCTGTCTCTCTCTATCTGTCTGTCTGTCCCTGTGTCTCTGTCTGCTTGCCTGTCTGTTTGCCTGTCTGTTTGCCTGTCTGTTTGTATGTCTGTCTGTCAGGGTCCCTGCCTGTATGTCTGTATGTCTGTCTGTCTGTCTCGGTCGCTCTCCGTCTGACCATCCGTCTGTCTGTCTTGGTCTCTCCCTCACCTCCTTGATAAATGTTTGGTGAGCAGTATTATCCATGTCGATAAAGAATATGCGTGGCCGAAGGTTGAGACAGAACGTGTTGCCATCCTAAAACAACAGCAAGAAAAGAACAAGTAGAAGGACAGAGAGTTTCTCAACTAAGGTAAAGCACCTTTAAATATACACACAACAGCTGCACCATGAGGGGAACACACACACAAGTGGAAAATACTGTAAAACATGTCATTTAAGGTGCATCAAAATTTCGGTGCCGGGGACCTGACAGGTTTCAGGTGTAATGTAGAATTAGGTGACCGGCATTCTCTTCACATACAGTTCACACTCTAGTGCCTTTTAGGTGGAATTATTTTAAATTTAGGTGCCTGTCTTCTCTACCGAAATCACCGAAATTAAAGTTACACCGAAGATAACATGTTTGCCAGTAACCTGTCTGACTGACTGCAAAAACACTCACACAGTCACACAGGAGCATCATATACTTTTGTAGCAGGGCCGGCACTGGCACAGGCATGGCTAGTGCGACCATGGCCGTACCAGTTTTTATCAATCTCAGTGCGCACGGGGGCTGCTCAGTGTGCTCAATTGATTATCTGCAAGTACTAGTGATAAGCTAGCTATCTTCCTGCACTCCTCGCTAGAGTCTGTCCATCCTAAACTGTTCTGCTTGTCCAGTGAGGTCTACTGCGTCTAGCTGTCATATCTGTTGCTAGAGGAACGTGTAGCTGAAACAAACAGATATGGTGCAGAGAGCTAGAGGTGTATCCTCCCAGGATTTCGAAATTGTAGCCGACCTGGAACCGTACCACCCATCAGGAGCTGGCTCCGGTCCTGTATACCCATGCACACATCAACATAGTCCTATGCTGCTGCTGTGCACATTGGTACCCATTGAGAAGTCAAGCGGCCACGGGGGCGCTGGCCTTGCAGCCGTGACCACGGCTGGTCCATCTTTACAGTGTGTCTAAACGCAGTAAGGATGCCGGTCCCGGTCATCCCATCGGATTTTAATGTCCACGACAGTAGCACACACGCACACACGCGCGCGCACACACACACACACACACGCACACACACACACACACGCACACGTGCACCCAGTAACCAAGTGGGGACAGACAGCCTGAAAGCAGAGCTCACCAGCAAACCAATCTGCGCACGAAGTGGCTGGTTACGTAGCTGGAACTTCTGCAATAGAACACGTACACCAAGGAGGACACCACCAACATCAGAACACAAGAGACAGCAGTGCATCATGGTTACAAATCAACAACAAGAAGAAGAACAACAACAGCGAGCTATGGCCATAGCGGTGAAAATAAATTGAAAAATGTATTTGAACTGCTGTCTGCTTCCTGTGTGTGTATGAAGGGGGGGGGGGGGTCGTACATCTCCTGTTGACTAGACGTGACGCTTCACTGACATCCAAAGCACACGTTTGTGAGCATGAATTTCAATTGTTTTCTTTGATTGAAATGAGAATGGGAGAACTTCAAATACATTGTAAACTGTCAGGAGAGTGAACTGCCTGAAAAGCGAAAAAAATGTCAACCCCACTAGGAATTCAAACACAGGCATAAGTGATGCAGGGTGAATAGTCCAGGGACGTTTTCAATTTATTTGAACAATGCATAATGGCCAGAGGATATCACATCAGAGTACTTACTGCAGGTGGTACCTTCTGGGATAGAAGCTGTGGACACACAAATAACATGCATACACAAATGCACACAGACACACGTGCACACACACGTGCACACACACACACACACACACACACACGAACACACACACATGCACGCACGCACGCACACACACAGTGCAACAGCATACAGTCAACACACCAGCCCATACATACATGTAGCATGTGGCATGTGAGAGTGAGTTCACCCACTGGACAATCCATTACTGTAAAGGGACGAACTTTCGCGGCGCACAAATTTAGCGTTTTCAAAAATTGGGCTGGTTCACGATGAGAAACTTTTGGGATTCTATCTCTTCAGTCGGATCTTGTCGTGTCTACAATCAATGTACGGAGAGGTTTGCGGCGATTTCTATTCGCGAATGTGTGATGGTCGCGCAAATAGCGAAACTTAATCTCTGGCGAAAGTTTCTCACTTTAATCAGAAAACTGTTGGTTCCCAGCGTTGCAAGTGTTTCTCAACACAACACTCACTCGTGCTACAGTGCTGTTCAATGAAATCCAAGTCGTGTCACTCTAGTACGCGCCGGGTGCTACGCAGCCATAGACCTGCGAACACTGGGCTACGAAATGGTACAAGGCACCAACTTGAGTGATGCGACTGGATTTTATTGAGCACTCGTGCTACAGAAAGCTCTGCATGTGTACAAGTGTACAAGGACTACTCTTCTGGCTGTCGCCGAAGAACTGGGGGGTCAGCCTCCTAGCCTAGACCGTTCTTATTTTCATGTATTACAGTCTATGCACAGTTGAGTCACCGTGTATACATTGGTATGCTGTGCTTGGAGAAATCCTAGCCTGCTGGTCGTTCCTCGACGCCCGATAGTACTGTACTCTTGTGCCTGTGGCTCGTCGCTACAGACGGTGGCCCTGGTCTGACTTACCTCCTTGTGAGGTGAGATGACATCTACAGTGTCTTTTCCACTCAGCTCTGCTATCACCCGGATCATCTTCTGAGACTGTGGGACACACGCGCATGCAGACATGCATGCATACACACACACACACGCGCGCGCACACACACACACACACACACACACACACACACACACACAGACATACACACACACACACATACTCATGTAAACGCTCGCACACATACACATACAAGCACGCACACACACAGACTTCTGTTGTAATTCAGAAATTCATGACACATGAGTGACATGACACATCATCAGACAACGGTGATGATATTGATTATTAAGATACGTGTACATGCAAGCAAGTAAAGAACGGTGAGACGCTGGAATGCACGTGGTGCAACAGTGAAACATACACTCGCATGAATACACAGGGGAGATAACAGCACAAGAAAAACGTGACAACACATACAACAGCAGCAGCAGCAGCAGCAGCAGCAACAGTAGCAGCAACAGTAGCAGCAACAGTAGCATCAGCATCAGCAGCAGAGGACTTACCACCTTCCGTCCTGTCTTGCTTGAAGACGTGATCTCATTGATGAAATACTGAGTAGCACCAGCTAACGCAGTGCACTGTTTAATGTGCAGTGTATCCTGCATACACACAGACACACACACACCCAGTACGGTTTTAAAAATCAAAATAGAAATCAACTGACATACATATACTGTAGAAGCTGACACACTAGAGAGGTTCCGCGCCACGTAAAGTTCAGCAACGTTACCGTAAGTGGGCGGGAAAACCATCACCGCGAGAACAAAGAACTTGATAAGATTTTAGATTCGGCATGTGAGCAAGGAGCAACTTCTCTACTGGCCACGAGCAGAACATTTAGGATAGTTCACAGCCCATTTACCGTATTCACGCGCATTAACGGGCATGCACTTACATTCGAGTACAAGGGCTATTCTACATATCAAGGCATGAAAAAACCTCAAGAGCCAAGAGTGTATTTTGAAGACTTGAATACCCGTATTGAAAGACATGCCCTTGTATCCGGAACATTTGTTTCCTGGCAAAATGGAAAACAAACGAATTTTTCGCATATAAGGGCGTGCGCTTGTATGTGGGTGGATACGGTAACTGGCGAGGGTTGTCCGTTAGTTCAGCTCACCTCAGCAGAAACGACAGTGGTGTGACACTTGCGTACGAGCGCCTCCAGAGACTTCTCGGCTTGTGAAACCGTGGCACCGGCGACCTAGAAAACAACAACACACACATACCCAGACATGGATAGCACAGGCACATGGATATGAAAAAAAGCTCGAGGGAGCTGAAACAGGGGAAAAGTGCAACAGAAAGCTGAGTGCAACCACCAGGACTCGAGAAGGCTGACTGCCACCACCAGAACTGGAAGCAGGGACTGTCGCTTATGACCAGCGATGCTCTACAGTCACACCTCGCTTATCCGGTCCTCTTTTATCCGGATCCCTCGCCATCCGGAAGAAAATCGTTGGTTACCGATTCATAGCATATGGCATGCATACATACAGTATGTGTGTTCGATTATCCGGGTCCCTCGCCTATCCGGATATTTTTGTGGAAAATGGATGTGTGCGGTTAAGCGAGGTTTGGCTGTACCACTAATCTACTAGCATGGTGTAGCCGTCATCCCAGCAGCGGCCGTTAAACATTTTCTTCAGACTTCGACACTCACGTCTTCTGTGAAGCTACACGGTCTGCTGGGGTCCTGCCGGATTACATCCAGGTAGCAGCATATCCTGGGCTGCTTTTACTACAAGCAAAATTCAAAATCAACTCGAACATGGCATTTATCTCCGAGAAAGGAACGGAAAGCAGGCATCGGGGCGAAGCGTTTTGATTTTGAAGCATTTCACAACAGCGACAGCCAACAGGTCAGCGAGTGTGGGTGAGTCAAAAAAATCACAGTTCGCGCGAGACTCGAGTTAGACCAAGTTTATTAACCGCATCCGGAGGAACGCCACCACCCTTCCAGGATCAAGGTGTAAACTAATCTCTAGTCAAATGCCTGCAAACAAAAGTAGGCGAAGCTGAACTAATGCAGTTCTGTCGCCAGGAAACAGTTGAAAATGCTCCCCTCACATTCACACAATCACTTGCACATGGACTGAAAAGGTCTTCAAAAACAACATGCATCATTTCCGTATAAAAAGGGTCCCTACCTCTCCTTGCAAATCCAAGATGACAAAATAGAGAGCCTTGATGAAAGGCACTTCATGCTGCAGCAGCCACGCCAGCGGCATCTCATCAACAAGCCAGTAGATTGTGAAGCAGCTGATAGGACGCACAGACACAAAGACACACAGACACACGCACACGTACATGCACACACACGAGCACGCATAATATAATACAATACAATATGACCATCGGGAGATGATAGCAGGTTCAGAAGGGACCAACAGTGCTCAAGTAACGAGCAGAATCGGGCGTGGCGAGTCAAGTCCTAGCGGCGGCGATAACTCCACGAGCGCACACACGCACACACATGCATGCACACACACGCACGCACGTACGACCATGCGCGCACACCCACCCAAACGTGTTTGACATGGGGTCAGTTCCGTGCAACTAACACCTCAGAAACATGTTATTCATTCAGCACCGTACCCTGCAGCGTTTGTCACACTCACGAGCAGCAGCAGCACTTACCCGCCATTCTTGGCATACCAAGAGCGTCTGAAACACAAACTGGCCACTTTCTCACCCAGAGCTGAGAACAGAGGCAGCGAGATTGCCTGAGCAAAGACACACAAAAAGAAGAAGAAAGGAGCAAAGATCATTGACAACATCCATAACACAGCACTGACCAATTGAGCCACAAACACATGCAATGGCCAAGGCAAACTTACCACATGTCCAAACACGCTTGTGACCGTCTGCAGGACGATCTTGAACGCAAAGTCGCAGATCTTCTCAATCTCCTTGTCCTCTTTGGAGATGACCTCGACGATTCCGTCTATCACCACCATCGGGTCAATGGCAAGACACCTGCGCACGATAGGCACAAGACACACACAGGACAACAGCTCTGTCTATGCCCTGGTTTAAACGAAAATCCGGTGGAACAAAAGTGATGAAGTGTCTCTACCGTAGAGACATTTCATCACTTTCGTTCCACCGGATTTTCGTTCGTACTAAGCTCTGCACGCCGTGCATGGAGCACTGTAACTGGTAGTCAAGGTTCTTCTATGACCTGGTTGACATTAGTGGGCCGTTGGTCATAACAGATAACATTTTTTTCTTCCTCCTATCCATTAATATATTGGCCCACCATCCCAATTCAAATTAGTCTGATTCGTCATGGTAACCTTATCATGTCACCATGACTTCTTTTATTATTGAAGCTTCTTTCTCTGAGACGCCGCCTAGTTGTGATTTACCACCTGACAGACAGAACAAGAGTATTCATCAGCTTACCTCTGGCGGATAATGGCGTTGGACAGCATCGCAGGAGAACCTAGTGCACAACAACAACAGAAATCACACGTGGACACTAAAGAGATCAAAAAAGCGACAACTGGAAAACTGTGCTAGGATCGCAATGCACAATGGAGCTGCACAATCTGGGGTATCGTCTTGTTTGCTCTGCTTCCAGCACTGCACAAACAATGTCGCAATCGATGTACTGATGCTGTCCAACAAAACTACAGCACACACAGACACCCACCAAAGCACTGGAGACAGCACTGAACGGGCACAATACCAAATCTGCTCTAAATCTAGGGATGGGGATGCTGGTTCCATCCCCATGCATCAGGTAAGTACTCTCTTGTTATAGTGGTCGTTGAAGCAGAGTTTTACTGCATTAATCTGGAGCATGCATGTGTGTGTGTGTGTGTGTGTGTGTGTGTGTGTGTGTGTGTGTGTGTGTGTGTGTGTATGTGTGTGTGTTCGTGGGTGTGAGCGTGCGTGCATGTTCGTGGTAGGACCTCTCACCACATTGCTGCAGAATAATCAGCAGTATGAAATGGCGAATGATCTCGGTGCACTCCTGGCGAATCTCGGCTGACAAGTCACTGGAGTTGGCAGCAGCCAGTATAACACCGGACACAGCTCTGCGTAACGTCTGGACAGCGGCTTTCTGTTGACCATCCAGGGTGTCGAATAGATCCACATCCGGTGCAAATGTCTCGGGAATGCTGTGAATGCAGAGAGATAACAGAAACCACTACCAATATTACATTCACATGGAGGTTATGCGAGTGCTCTCATCGGGATTTTCAAATGGACACACAAGTACACGAGTGCTTGTCGGCAGATTTTCGAATGGGTACTACAGGTATGCAGCGCGCAGCGTATCGCTAGTGCAAGTGCAGCGCTGTGCCGTGCGGCGAGTAGTCCGCGACTTTGCCACAGCACCTCAACTGATGATGTAATCACATGTACTGTAAGTCTGCAAATTTTCAGCCCATTCAAATTTCGGCCTCCCGGGGCTAAAACCCAGTTCGGCCGCATCGATTTTTTCGGCCTGTACTGCTGTCGCCTGTATACACTGTCACACTGAACCTTGCAAAACAAAATTTCGGCCGCAATATATTTTCGGCCAAACATGTCCAGGCCGAAAATAGCCGAAAATAAATATGCGCCGAATATTAGTTGACTTACAGTAACCTGAGCTACTAACCTCTATAGCACACTACGTAAAGCAACAAACTAAAACTAATGAGATGCTCGGCGTGAGCTCAACGTAGGAGCTACCATGTTCGTCGTAAGTGGAGTAGTTGAAGAAAAACCTCGGACAACACAGTTTTCGAATGCTGCATATATGCATGTGTGCGTGCATGAGCATGTGTGTGTGTGTGTGTGTGTGTGTGTGTGTGTGTGTGTGTGTGTGTGTGTGTGTGTGTGTGCGTGTGTGCACGTGTGAGTGCATTTTCATGTGTGTGCACGTGCTTGTGTGTGCCAGTTAACTTGGTTAAGTACCTGATCGCCTTCAATGCCTGTAACAAGCGGTCCTTGCTCTCAAGGTCACTCAGAGTAGCGGCAATGTACGCCTGATATTGCAACGCAAACACAAACACACAAACACAACATGGACATCAAGCACAGCAATACAAGCCATTACTACAGTCGCGCTCACTGAAATCCGACCCAAAGCACAAAGCTGGCGCCCTGGATCGGTTCCGATTACATCATTGTATGTGTACATGTGTACGTCCAACCTCATGCGTGCCACTTCCAGGACGTCAAGGGGCGCGCAAGTTGGGAGCGCCAGCTTTGCACTTAGAGCAGGATTTCACCGAGTGCAACTTTAGTACCAGTCGAAAAGAGAAAACTCTGTAGGTCAGTGCAGGACGCAATCAATACGCTCCACTGCCAATGCACATTGCCACAAAATGGAATGTATGAGTAATGTACAGTCCTGTACATGTTCAGGAATATGCTGGGATCAGCAACGTACCGTTCAATACCCCACACAACCATAGATCAGCAATGCACTGTTCAACACCCTAGACGACCATGCCCAGGTGGCTGTGTGGGGTGTTGGTGGTACAAATCACGTCATTGTGTAATGTGCTTATAAACAAAGAGTACCAGTAACTTATCGTGTCCGTTCCCGAAGGGAACGCACGACAACCGCTAACACCCGGTAAACCCAATGAACGTATGCTCACCCGAATAAGCAGCCAGGCTTGCTTGCGATAGTGGGGCTCGGCATTGGTGTCTTTCAGCAACAATAGTGCCGTGCCGACAGCCTAGAGAACAAACAAAAACACAGGCCCACACGTATGTACGTATGCATGCACACACGCACGCAAGCACACGGACAGAATTCCATGTGTGATTTGGACAAAATTCTTGGTCGTGTGGATTACGAAAAGTGGCTAGAACGGAAAATCACATCATCTACATGTTTGAAGTATCTCACAATTCACTGCACAGAATTACGCATCAGCATGCAATGCAGCTTTTAAAACAAAACAACAAAACATTTGGAGCACACATTGAACAAATGCCAGAACGTCCACATTGTACTAAAGTACTCTTGTAGTTGTACACAACAACCCTTGCTGGCTGCACGTCAACCAACCATAGCCTCGGCATAGGTAACAACACACTGAGCGCGTTTGATAATGCCCGCGAATCGATTCACGAATCCATTTATGACCCCCCCCCCCCCCCTGGTTATTCACATCACCCCATGTGAATATGGTGAATGGATTCCGAATCGATTCCAGTGCTCATGGCATGACATCGAACGGCGAGATTCCATTCATGAATCGATTCAAGGTGCGTAATCGAACGCACTCCGTGGAAGCTCTCTTATCCAGACACCTGCCATAGGGCCAGTAAGAGAGGGTGCTAGAAACACTAGTAGCAGGGTATAGGCAGCAAGCCTTGCTTGATTTCTTTTAACTACTATGCTGTGAAACACACATGAGGCATGATCAGGGCATACTTATGCCAGCGGAAATGGTCGAGGAAAAAAAGAGAAAAAAAAGATTGCTTGATACTAAGTAGTTTCACATGCACATGTACCGGTACTGTACTGTTGTGGGCATTGAAATCCAGTGGATATTGACGTCCGGTGGAATGACCGCGGCCAGCACCTTACTGTAGTTCACAGGTGCTCACCCGGCTGCACGGCCATTGCCCCCGTTGCTGCTCGACTTCTCAACAGATTTCAATCTCCACAACATTCTTGTACAAAACAAAACAAAAAAAATTAACGGTTCGCGTGAGACTCGGCCAAAGGCCCAGTTTTCCGCATCCGCAGGAACGCCACCACCCTCTTGGATCAAGGCGCAGATGCAGCTCCTAAGCGGTGGGAGGTGAGTAGGTCAGACCCACCACAAAGTGGTCAAAGACCGAAAATCCCATTCACTGCATCCATGTTTCCCTCGTGCCAGGCCACGAGTTCCCAATTAACTGTGGGTTGCAGCACGGCTGGAAAAAAATCCTTCCGCTTCCAAGCAGGACTTGAACCTGGTACCCTCTGTTTCTCAATCATACACATACAAAAAATAATTTAGTAGCAGTGGTGAGGCTCCCTGCAGCTTCATTCATAGGAAAGAAAAGGATTCAGAGCAAACCCGCTCTTTTCCCAAAAAATAATTATTAACATAATTATCATGCGTGATGATGGCAGCATGTCCTAATACAGAGGATACTGTTCTCAACACATTGTGTTCTCCGCCATCTAGCATGCTATCATCAGTGGTGATGATTCATCACCATACATAGTCAACAACACTAGTACAGCAGCAGTGGTGGCTGTTACCTCTCCCATGGGTAGATGAACCAGTTTGGATGTGCCATTGAAGCTGATAGAAAACAAGGGGCCAATGTCACCGTCCTCTCTGTACTTGAGCTGAGAACACACGAGAATGCGCACAGACACAGCCACATACATATACACACACACGCACGTGTGCATGCACACACACACACACACACGCACATACATACAAACACACACAGACACACACACACACACACACACACACACACATACACACACACACACGCACATACATACATACACACACACACACACACACACACACACACACACACACACACACACACCAAGTACCAGTAGACAACCAACTTTGGCACAATGTCTGAAGCAGTCGTGCCTTAGGAATAGTGGAGAGAAACCCTACTACAAATGTCTATGTTCCTGGATGATAGCTGCGTTGAGAGACCGGAGGAATGTTTCTTCACGGGAGAAGCATTCAACGTGAAAAGAGTCAACATGGTGATACTGAAGATAACTAAGAGCAGTGGCGGATCTAGGAGAGGGCGCGGTGGGCGCGCGCCCTCCCCTCAAACAGTTCGATTTTTTTTAGTGCAGGCACATGGGCAGTTGCGCAAGTGTTTGCACATGCTGTGACAAGTAGTTTCTAGTGTCAGGTAAGAAAGTTCTTCTGAACACGGAGTAGTTGTTCTCTTAGACTTCGGTTGACTTTTAGTTTTGAAATTAGTGTTCAGTTCACGAACTTGTATAGCTAAGTCGGTGAAGGAGATGGCGCACCGCCCGCCCAAGCGGCTAGGGAGCCAACAAACTCTCCACGGATTTTTCGCGAATCGAACTTGCGCTTCGCCAGCTGCTCAGTCGAGCGATCCGTCTTTGGAGGAGAATTCGGACCACCGCGAAGATCCTGAGATCGAGGTCTGCTCAGACTCTGATCTTCCCCAAATGGAATCCGAAGTAGATTCTGACGACGATGGTGGGACTGTCAGTAGTAGTGATGCGAGTTAGGAGCGTTTACCTGTTGAAACTATCGCAGATGACGATGTTGTGACTGCCACGAATGTGGCTGGTGGCACTGCTACGCAGCGAAGTTACTCGGATGCTGTTGATGCACCTATTGGCGGTGCAACTCTCAGCGATGCAGAAAAGCGCAACATACTTGGGATCCGGAAGCCTGATAAGCAGACGGTGTTGCCATCTAGGGATTATCCCGACAGCCGCCGAAAGACCGGTACTTCCACTCGCTCGCTGCTACTGAAGAGGTTTGAGTGGCTTGCCTATTCCGGAAAGGCTGGCGAGGAAGGCGTTTTTTGTGCGCCGTGCGTCCCGTTTCCTACATTGCTTCGACAAGGATCAACCCGAGGTGAATACCTCATCATCCATTCTTACTGCTGGACATGGCCATCCAAGTAATCGTATATTTTATTATTTTGCCATTGTTCTCGATCTCAGCATGTCTGGAGCTTTGAAGCACTATCTTTACACAATTCAATGTAGTACGGCTATGTTCTACTACAGCCAGAGTCCTCAATGAAGTGGTTGAAAAAGTGGGAGTGAGTGCATGTGCTAAAATAGTAATTCTACATAACCGCTAAGCCTATGATGTAAAATAGCCGCTATGTCGTAATGTGTACAAAATACAGGTACCGCATAGGTTCCCCTGTCATGAATATTACCCGCGCCCTCCCCTCAGATGAACTCTGGATCCGCCGCTGAAGAGGGCCTGTGTCCAGTCAACAGGTGATGAAATGCCTGAACGTAGTGATAGAGCAGAACTTGCTGGGGGGGGGGTTCTGAGTTTTCTTCTGAGTCACGGATACACTTCAGTTGCAGAGTGCGGAGACTAGAGAAGAACAAGTGTACATGTACAACATGATGTGTCCAGTCAACAGGTGATGAAAGGCCAGAACGTAGTTATAGAGCGTAACTTGCTGGTGCTGCGGGGGTCTTAGTTTTTCTTCTGAGACACGGATACACTTCAGTTGCAGAGTGCGTGGACTAGAGAAGAACAAGTGTACAATCATGTACAACATGATATCTTATTATCTACAAGCAGCAAAGACAGAACTCAGAACGCTCTTGAATCCACAACCACAATACCATCACAGTGTATAAGGATTACTAGGACACCGTACACCCGCCGCGCTTACCGCCGTCTGGTTTAGCGTACGCCGATTCATGCCGCCGAACTTGGCTAGCAGCTTTATCGCAGACATTGCCAACTGGTCGTTAGTGTCTCGTACGATGTTCCACAGTGCCTACGTAGTGAGACAGCATCATCATAGACACCACACATACACACATACACACTCCTCAGACTTCAGACCTCAGACCTGCCCATTGCGGAAGCGATGATAACGAAGAGCTATGTTAGACATAGCAACTTGTGCTAGGATTACACCATTCAACAGCTTGCAAGGCTGATGAATTGACCGCCACTATTTTTAGCCTGGTCTACACCACACGGCTGATTGAAGCAGCTTTTCTGGCCAGTGAATCCCTATATTTCAATTTTCATTTTTTCATTTTTTACATTCTTTCTTCATACACACGCACTTACGCACTTACACACTTACACACTTACACACACGCACACACACACACACACACACACGCACACACACACGCACACACACGCACACACATGCGCATGTGGACACACACACATCATTACAGGTAAACCCTTTGCGTGAAGACATACCGGTCTTTCTTTTCTCCAGTTTTATGCTTTTGCATTAACTCTTGTGCTAACGATGTCATGTCCCGTGTCTCGTTTTCCGTCACGTGTTTCGTTTTCGGCCGTTTACACGGATTCGACAATCAATTTTTTTTTAAATAATTTTCGACATGTGACGAGTGTTGTTTTGTGGCCTGTTCTCAACTATTGCTTGAGTGTGATTAGTGCTTCCACGACAACACTTGGCACATGGCGAACTTTTGCGGATCCTTTGCTCCCGTGTAGACGCGCGAAAACGATACAAACGGAGACCACCTCGGATCAGCTTTGATCGTGTAAACGCACGAAAACGAAAAAAGGAAATGCGGGACTGAAAACGGAAAACTGGCCGTGCGTTGTCGTGTAAACGCAGCCTGAACAACACCAACAACTGTTAGATAAAGTTTCCCTCTCCCCGGAGTTGTAATTATTAGGCCCCCAGGGTGGTATGTCCCCGGATTCATCTGTCTCCCCCGTGAACAGATACGCCCTCTGCCATCTTGGGTGCCCAAATTGGTGACCCTGTACAGCCGGTCAGTATCAGGCTACCACGTTGTGTAGCGCAAGTGCCGGTACTCCGAACTCTGGATTCCTGTAATCGAGGAACTCGTTTCGTTGCACGCTAGCTCAGTGGCTTCTAGAACCAGTTGTACAAATTTCGCTGCCAGTATTTCGTTCGTGTGTTGTTCGAAGACCCTGTCTTGCAATGGAGCGCGATTCCACAGCCCACGCCAAAGGTACTGTCGTTGTGTAGCGCAAGTGCCGGTATTCCGAACTCTGGATTCCTGTAATCGAGGAACTCGTTTCGTTGCCCGCAGGCGCGCAGGCTCAGTGACTTCTAGAACCAGTTGTACAATCTCGCTGCCAGTATTTCGTTCGTGTGTTGTTCGAAGACCCTGTCTTGCAATGGAGCGCGATTCCACAGCCCACGCCAAAGGTACTGTCGTTGTGTAGCGCAAGTGCCGGTATTCCGAACTCTGGATTCCTGTAATCGAGGAACTCGTTTCGTTGCCCGCAGGCGCGCAGGCTCAGTGACTTCTAGAACCAGTTGTACAATCTCGCTGCCAGTATTTCGTTTGTGTGTTGTTCGAAGACTCTGTCTTGCAATGGAGCGCGATTCCACAGCCCACGCCAAAGGTACAGTGGGTACTCACAGCACACCTACCGGTAGTAGCAAATTGCTAACTCGCTCCGAGACCGCTCTGGCTTCCAAGAGCACAGCGACCGCAAGCAGGCTGGCCGCCAAGCAGGCGCCTTCGTCCACCGAAACTGAACAAAATACATGTATTCCAGTCGCTGCCAACGCTAACCCACCCGCACACCGTGCTGGCAGTCCTGTGGTGTCAGCCATCACTGCAGTAAAGCTACCGCCCTACTATGCGAGCGATCCGCAAGTCTGGTTCGGCGTGGTGGAAGTTTGTTCCGGACACGGAATATTAGCAGGCGGTCCACAAAATTCCATCTTGAGCGCTGACTTCGCCACCGAGGTGCGCGACCATATCCTCAACCCACCAGGGGATGCACCATTTGACGAGCTTAAAGCCCGCCTCATACAGCGTATGCAGCTGAGTGAGCAGCGTCACATACACCTGCTCCTGTCCGAAGAGGAGTTAGGTGACAGGAAGCCCACACAGCCGTTGTGGCGGATGCAACAATTACTGGATGATCACATGATGGACGACGGACTGTTCCGCGAACTATTCATCCAGCGGTTGCCAGAGAAGGCCCGCCTGATCCTCGCATCGAGCTCAGAGACACTGCCACCGGAAGGTCTCGCCACCATGGCAGATCGGATTTTGGGAGTTTTGCCCGAAGCAAACACGCTACTATGGCTCTTGGGCCTGCTGCAGGCATCATGCCGGGCAGCACAGCTGCACGCCTGGCAGGAAGTTAAGCACATGCTCGACCTTGGTATCATTCGCCCATCCGAGTCACCCTCGGCCAGCCCACTCCACATGGCCCCAAAACCCAACGGAGATTGGCGACCTTGCGGCGACTAGCGCGCCCTCAATCTGGCCACTCAGCCAGATAGGTGTCCGATCCCACACATACAAGATTTTACGGTACGTCTCGCCGGCTGCAAAGTTTTCACTAAGATCGACCTGGTTCGGGCGTACCACCAAATCCCAATCGTGGAGCCATCACTACTGCTGTTACTTGTATTACTGTCATCTTGTTCGGTACCTGAATTGGCTGCCGACTAACCAGTCGCCACCTCGCCACACGCACATACACGGCGACATTGGCTGCTCAACGTCAAGTTTTCCGCACCTGACCACGGCGCGTCTTTGCCTTTGCCTTCGCGCATACAGTTTTTTTCTCTCTTTCTGCCTCTGACATGCTCTCCACCTCTGTCACGTTAATCCACCTCTGACATGTTAACCCGCCTTTGTCACACATCTCTTTTTCCGCTTCCTGCATTTTGTTTCTTTGTATATCCCACATGCACAGCTCTTATCGTCTATTTTGTATATATTTCCTTGTTTTTCTCTTTCATTCTCTGCGCTCCGCTTGTTCCCTGGTGGGGGAGTACTGAAGCGACCTCGCTGCATGACGTCAGCCCGTTCACTAGTTATACGCATGCGCATGAAACACTTCTTCCTCTTTGTTCTAAATAAACAACAACTGTTTGACAAAGTTTCCCTCTCCTCGGAGTTGTAATTCTTAGGCACCAGGGCGGTATGTCCCTGGATTCATCTGTCTCCCCGTGAACAGATACGACCTCTGCCATCTTGGGTGCCTGAAGGCAGTCCTCAAATTCTGTTTACTACCGTAAAGTACCGTTGATCCGCCCCCACGCCATGTCGCTTCCCAGCTGGGTTTTCGGCAGGGGGTGGGAATTAGGTCAAGGCTGTAAAGTGCAGTACGATGTACAAGTTACAACATCGGTGTGCTGGATTGTGCATATTTTCATCCTGCACTCGCACGTATTGTGTACAGCAGTGCATGCGTCGGTTCAACACCGTACTTCATTGTATACGCCGAAGTCGCTTCACAGGCAGAAAATCGACAGGGGGCGGCAATAAGAGAGGGGGCGGATCAACAGTACTTTACGATATATGTTGGACTCAGTAGAGCGTCCAGCCCCTATATGATGTCCAACCCCTATATAGAGTACATTGGTCCAAAATCCACTGTACAGAGTCCAAAATTGGAATCAACTGTGAGCTCAGTTTAGATGGACATCACTCCCTGTATAGAGTCCAGCCAATTGGCTTCACCCCTATATAGAGTCCATTGGTCCAAAATCAACTGTACGGAGTCCAAATTTTGAAATCAACTATAAAGATTAAAGAGTCTTTATGTGGACAACACTCCCTGTATAAAGTCCAGCCAATTAGGCATCCCCTATCGAGTTCGAAATTAGACATAGGATCTGCTGTAAGCAGTGAATATTAACCAGAAAACGGCCTCTCCCTTTAATCCTTTACATCATTCACTTCTCAAGATAAAAAATGTGTATTGAGGCGCCACTGCAGCCACTTCACTACATGAAAAACCCTACAAACACCATCCTCAAATCAAGTGGTCTCTTCGCAGACGCTGCAAATTACAATATCTCAATCATGCAGTGTTGCCAAATTATTGTGCACGCACACACACACATGCACACACCCACACAATGCCAAGAAAATACCTAGAAAAAAAACAAGAATCGAAAGAGAATAATGGAGAGTCCAGGATTAATTATTTGTTTTCAAACTATTGTGCGCGCGCGCGCACACACACACACACACACACACACACACACACACACACACACACACACACACACACACACACACACACACACACACACACACACACACACACACACACACACACACACACACACACACACACACACACACACACACACACACACACACACACACACACACACACACACACACACACACACACACACACACACACACACACACACACACACACACACACACACACACACACACACACACACACACACACACACACACACACACACACACACACACACACACACACACACACACACACACACACACACACACACACACACACACACACACACACACACACACACACACACACACACACACACACACACACACACACACACACACACAAACTTATACAACGCCAAGAAAACACCAAGAAAAGAGTAGAGACACAATACACACGCAACTCCAACAGCCATGCAAACGTCCACCCATTTACACGTAAAGTCAAGAGGGATAACAAATAATTATACGAAACGAATGCATACGGGGACGGGTACACGCACGTTTACATACATGTAGTAGTGTAAGAGAGTAACATAGTGCAGTGGTCAGCATAATACTAGCACATGCTGAGAGTGCAATAGCAAGCTTCACCATTGCTCATGGCCATGCAAATGTTCAGCAGCACTCAGTTCCGCAAGCTTCTGAAGATCAGCACACCTGCAACAAATAGATAGCACAAGGATACGCCTATTAACGTAATGATGCATGGGAGCACACAACTACCAAGTTCTCAACGAATGTGATGCTCAATGAAAATCAATCCACTCAAAGACCTGTGAACAGGTGACGGTGGGGACAATAATCTATTAGTAATACGAGGAATAAGATCGTTTGTGCACACTCAAGACGCACGGACACACCACCATACATGTAGTGTACACAGTGTTTCACTGCAACTACTTCGAAGTAAATTGAAATGAGATGATTTGAACAATCTGTACAGCGTTGCCGTCAGTCAGTCTTCCCCAAGATGGAAATGCAATGATTTGTTGTCACGAGGCAGTTTCACTGACACAATGTCATGTTCGTGACATCAAAACGGTTACTTCAGGGAATACGAGTATTAGCTTGAGAAGCTTTTTCTTGTCATTGGCATACAAGCAATCCTCCTACTACTACTAGTACACTGGCACTGCGTTTGTGGATCCCATTGTATTTGACATCATACTATAATTTGTAGAGGAAGAGTGTCGTGGAGTTTCACATAATTTTCACAGGGATAAAAATACATTTCTCATGAAATAATTATAATAATTGATGATAGCTAGACGATCGTATACGATTGATGCAAAGTCCTTGCAGTCCTTGAGGACTATTACGAAGTGGTTGATTACTTTTAGGGCATTCATTCAAGCAACATCAAACAAACACGATACGCTCCTTGAAAATGGAAACAAATTCAAGCATAACGACAGAACAGCAGACCAATCGAAACAAGTAAAAGCTTCCTTACCTCAGTCATCGTCCTGCCATGTAGTTGGACAGCCTTTTGACACGGTGGTACAGGCAGCTCTTGTCCAGTCAAACAGGGGTATCCTTGTGGCGTCGAACGAAAGAGAATGTCAGTGTATCTGACTCGTCAGATTGGAACTGTGCTGAACCTTTCTCTTTCTCCGCTTTCTGCTTTCATCCCTCGCTCTGATGAAACCGTTCAAACGTCTTACTGGCAGCAATGGCCAGCCAAACAGGGGATCCTTGTGGCGTCGAACGAAAGAGAGTGTCAGTGTACCTGACTCGTCAGATTTGAACTGTGCTGAACTTTTTCTCGTTCTGCAATTTCTGCTTTCATCCCGCGCACTGATGAAACGTCTTCAGAGAACCACAAGACGCTTTCCAGATTTGATTTTGAACGTCTCCTTATCCTCCTTGGTTACCTCGAGACAGATTACTGTCAGCAACTGCACAGCAGAACTGGCAGCCATGGCTGAAGTGAAGAAAGGAATGCGCTGCCACGAGGCAAGCAAAACTGAAAATGTGTTTGTTCTCTTTCGGGCACAACACACAGGACGGCGTGACTGGATAAACTGGACTCCTGGACTGTGAATAGGGGACTTGTAGAAAAAGTGTACTCCTTATAGGGGATTGCGCGGCAGGATGAAGCTGATCAAAACTGAGTGGACTCCTGGA